GTCATGACTCATACTCCGTGTGAGGTATTGTGGGTTCGTTCACGACTTCGTGATATAGGTATCAGTGTGCCCTCTCCTATGGAATGCATTGTGACCATGGTCACCATAATTTACTAAACTTTTAACGACCCACGATCGGGGTACATCGATTCCAAACAAGGTGGGTTAGCGATCCAAATCACCAAAATGGACGACCTTAAATTGTAATACTAACCCTAAATCAATTCGCTTTAAATCATGTAACATAAGTATAAAATACATATTAATTGACTACGTGTATATAGATTTATAATTATATATCATTTTAGATAACAAAAAATCAAGCACAACTATAAGATAAATGGTAACTAATTTAGTGTTTATGAATGTTCTAAAATATATAATGTTGTATAGTAGTGAAAATGATCTATATAGAGTTCCAAAACGAATTGTAACCTAAAATACCATACCGGCTAAACCTTTCTCCATCGTACCGCGTACTTAAGAAATTATCGTACCATGTACCCATACCACTTACCAAAGCGACCCACGATTCAGTTAACATTGATTATGACAACCAATCAGGTAATTTCGTTGCCAACAATTCGATATTCCATGAGAGGACTAAACATATCGAAGTGCATTGTCATTTTATTCGAAATCTCTTAATGCGTAAGGAGATTATCACACCATACATCAAGTTTAGTGATCAACTAGATGACATCCTTACAAAACTATTGGCTCAATTTGTCTTTAATAGTCTTTGTTCCAAGTTAGACATTTTTTATCTTTATGCTCCAATTTGAGGGGGAACATTGGGGTTCTTATTTATATTATACTAGTATAGAGTGATATTGTAATTCTCATAATATCAATTTACTATAAATAAGAGAGTGTAGGGTAACATAGCTTGCACAATTGATTATTCTTCTCAATCTCTTCCTCTCTTCCTCCCTTCTTTCTCTCATAAATCTTAATATCAATTTTATCATCCAACTAATACAAATCTATACTACTTTAAAATACCAGAATACATAAAAAATAATTTTTTTTCCACATTTGCCCTATAAAACTATGACTTTGTCATTCTTATCCATTAGAGTTAATGCCACACTACACATAATCATCGCCCTTAATTGCTTCCCTTTTCTTCTCATTTTTACCCTTGAGTAATGGCAGCAAACCTATTATTTCCCTCAGTAATATAAGATTGATTTAGTTTCGGACCGTGTAGATTCTTGGACTAAATATACATTTAAATATGGACATTATGTATTAATTGAACTTGGACCACTTCATATTCTCCGTTGTTTGTAAACTCTCCATATTCTATGAATTAATGTTTTTTTTTTTCGGAAGGTTTCTATGAATTAATGTTACAACCTATGGAAATAGTGGAAACTGAGGATTGCTTCATACTTTGAGGTGATTGTTACCGGAATGAGAGAAAGTGAAGAGTTTTTTTTTCCAGCATGGAGGCTAATTTGGTGTATATGGTCTGAGTTTTTGGAGGTGAATTAAGTTGATTTTGATTTTTTATCATTGGATTGATTTAGTGAAAATTGAGGAGTTTTCATAAATTTGGAGCTTAATTGGTGAACTGGGTTGAGAAAGTGGGGGACAACAATGAGTAGAGTGCCATTTGGTATGTTAGTCATGAAGCTATGACTCATTGCTACTACAGCAATTTCTCAATGTTGTGTTGCCAATCCTGTTGTTAACCATATGACTTCTTAGATGTTCAAGGAGAAGGAGAGGTGCTTTTACTGATCTCTAAGTGTGTGTTAAATCCAAATATGTGCTTACTATTGCTTCAACCTGTGCTCACTCCAACCTATTGGCCACAAATGAAAATGTATAGTGATCCCTATGTGCTCAATTTGTGGGGGGTTTTTTCTACAACTGCAAGGAAGGTGCTATTCTGAGTGTCAATTCTTTAGAAGTTTGTCTGTCAATGTCATTTACCTCTCATAAGTAGTGTTAGTAGAACATGCCCATAAATTGATTTTTTTTTAATTAGTCACGCCTCACGCCTCACACTTCTACTACAATTTTTTTGATACGTCACGATATTTGGCAGTTGGATTTTCATCAGGGTGATGAGAGTTTTTTCTACTTGGTTTTTGAATGTTGTTTCTTTAATGTGGTGTTGTAGGTTGATAATGTCGTGTAGTTGTTTCTTAGTTGCCTTTAATTTATTTTTATTTGAGTATATAACTTAAAATCATAGTTTGGTTGCACACTTGGTTAAGTTTTGATAACTTGAATTTGAATGGGGATTTTGCTGCCGTCATTCTTGCGATAATGTCTTGTGCAAGGGTAACCAATCATAACCGGTTTATTCACAAATCATCTCACTGGTTGATGTGAAAAGTGGTTCATTGGACTCCTACTCTAATTGGGAGTGTACTTATAAGTTATAACTAAGTCAACCTGTCATCTGGATGTATAAATTTGTACAATACTCATTATTATTATTTTGTAACATAAGCTTGAGGGTCAAGAGACAAATTGCTTTCCAACTATACTGGAAAACAATCAATTCTTTGAAACATTGTAGCAGTGGCTTTAGGTATCCCAAACTTGGTCTTATTTCTGCATTTTATAATTGTAACTAAAATTAATTCACATGCAACGTACTTGTGCAACAACTAATAAATTAAATGACTAAATTACCCTTAATATCTAAGTATATTCTAACACCTTCCTCAAACTCAGGATGCGATAGCGGAGAACATCAAGAGTTTGTTAGACAAAAAACGAAAGCCATTATTGTGAGATTTCATAAAGAAATCTGTCAACTATATAGTAGAAGGTAGAAAGGAAAAAGAGGCCCAACTAAACATAATGACGCACAAAGTAGCCATCAATCTCAATATGCTTTATGAAATTTTGAACTACTGAGTTGTGGGTAATCTGAATAACACTTGAGTGGTCGCAATAAATAGGAGTAGGAATAGAAACAGAGATGCACGGATCGACAAGTAGCCAACGTAACTAGATTATCTCAACTGTATTGGATGCCATAGCATGATACTTAGCTTCAGCTGATAAACGAGCAACAACATTGTACTTATTTTTTCATGAGATAAGAGAATCACTAAGGAAAAGGCAGAAACTTGTGGTGGACTTGTGATCCATAGGGTCACTAGCCTAATCAACATCGGAGTAAGTTCTAATTTCATAGAGACTCTGATGTAGAGTGCCTCGAAAATATTGAAGAATATGGAGAACAACAACCCAGTGAACAGTGGTAGGTTAAGCAACAAATTGACTAACGACATGAACACCATAAGAGATATTTAAGTGAGTAACTATAAGATATACCGGACTTTCAACAATAGTACGATAGAGGGTAGGGTCAGGCAAGAGAGTACTATCAGAAGAAGAGTAACCAACATTGAGCTCCAACGGTGTTTTAATTGTTCGATTATATGATAAACGAGCTTGTTGAATAACATCTAATGCATATATGGATTGAGAGAGGAGATAAACTTTGGGAGAGGAAGTAAACTTAATCTCCAAGAAATACCGGAGCTGACTCAAATATTTTAGATCAAAATGATCATGCAACTGATTTTTCAGTAGTTGTATGCCAATCACTGTGTCATCGCTTGTAATAATCATAGCATCAACATAATGTAAGAGAACAATAACCTAAGAAAGTGGACCGTAAAATGAGAGTAGAATTAGGATTACTGTTACGGAAACTGAAGTCATAGATGACTGAAGAGAACTCAGCAAACCATACCCTAGGAGCCAGTTTAAGACCATATAATGCCCTTTCTAGTTTGCACACTTGACCAGAATTGTAAGGAGCCATAAAGACTTTTTCAGTCAAATCTCTGTTAAGAGAGACATTTTTCACATCCATTTGAGAGAGACTCTATTGATGAATAACAGTCATAGCAATCACAGTGCGAACAATGGTCGTCTTAGTAACAGAAGCAAATGTCTCTTCATAGTATATGCCATACTCTTGAGCAAATCCCTTTGTTAATCGAGCCTTGTATCATTCCAAAGAACCATCATATTTATTCTTATTTTTATGAACTCACTAACAATGAACCGTATTTTTGGTAGAGGGTAATGACACCAACTCCCGGTGCCACTCTTATGTAAAGCAACAAGCTCCTCATCTATAGCCTACTACCAAAGAGGATCAAGAATAGTCTTCTTATAGGAGGTAGGTTCAAAAAGTGAGAAGTGAGTGTATTGAAGCTAAGAAAAAACAAAATCCAGTAGAATAACAAGAGTTAGAGAAATCAAACCGATCTGGATATTTACAAGGTTGCTAAGGATAGCGAGAAGCATGATTCATATTGTCAGAACCTGACTGAGTAACATTAGAGAAGAGAGGTATCGCATACACAGAAGAAACGATTTGAGTCCTGCAAGCATAAATATGTACAATATGGGGCCGAGTGATAGGAAAATCAAAAAAGGCACATAGAACTCATATTACTAACTTAAGTATCGGAGGGAACATCAGCAGGAAATGGATCAATATAAATAAAATCTGATTTATGCAAATGTGAAGAACTAGATGGAATAGAAAAGAAGGAAATATGCTCGATGAAAACAACATGACGAGAGACATAGAGTTTGTGTGCAATAGGATCATAGCAATGATGCTTTTTTTGACCACCACTATAACCAAGAAAACCACAATAAGTTGAACGAGCAAAAAGTTAAGTACGAAGAGTACTAGGAAGCAAGACAAAATAAGTGCATCCAAACACATTTAAGGAGAAATAATTAGGTAGCTTATCACATAATTTTTCAAAAGGATAGATTCCACAGGTGATGATAGTGGGCATACAATTAATCAGGTGGACCGCAAAAAAAAAAAAAAAAGCTGCAAGATTGTTATACTTGACACATATAAAATGACTGCCCCGTAATAGGACTACAATTGCGTTTCGAAAACAACTTCCACCACAAACAAAGAGGAGCTGCTACCCACACCTCACCACAACTCCTCACACACCCTCCCTCCCAACACATCAGCAAATCAAAGAATGAACCACAGAGACAACAACTCGCCTGTACCAAGCAGTCCAAGAGTAATGGTTGGTTGTTCCCAACTGGTTGGTTGCACAAACAACACCAATTTGTGAGAACCTTTTCTCTCTTCCTGTAGTTATCGGTTTTGAAGCCCTTCGACAAAGCTGCACACCCCCGAAATCAAGTTCTGTCTTCAACATTGCTTTCCATGGGAAGGATGATGAACATTTCCCCTCAATGTTTTTCACAGAAAGACCTCAACTCAAACATTCTTCTAGTTATAGTTCTCACTTAGCAGGGGAAGTGTGCAAAGAATTATCTTGTTTTACTAAACATGCAGCCATTCTTTTTTTTTTTTTAATTTTTTTGGACTGGCAGCCATTCAATTTTAATCAATACACGAACAGCGTAAGAAACTGTTGGAATGTGATTGATTAATTCTGGATAGTAACCTTTGAGATAATTCGTTTTTATAAAGAAGAAATTATTGTTGTTTGACTTTTTGTCCAACTTTTCTTATCTTGATTGAGCAATTCAATTTACATGCGTTTGCCACTTAACAGCAAAACCATGATATGTCAATCTTTTGTATTGTTTGTCATATGCTTCTGTAGGTAATTGGCATTTACGGGGATTTCCTTTCGGATGAAGAGGCATATGGATCTCAAGTATCAGAAAATGGAGTTTTGCAAGTTTTATTGGATATAAGATTTGCTGCTGATGTCCTTTCTGGTGGTGATTTCAGTGGAAGCGAGGAGTTATCAAAAGTTCTGAAGGTGAAGAGTACTTTTAGGCAAAAGCATGATTTACACAAGGCCAAGTCGGCCAATAGAGAGCTCATCGATGGGTTGGTCAATCGCCTTTCACAGAGGCTGGATCCTATAGACTGGCTTACGTAAGCTTTTTTAACTGAATTTTGTTATGTAAAGAAGTGTTACACCCTTATGTTATATAATTGTATTATTACAACATTCCATATTTTGTTACCTTTGCCATAGTTACCTCGTGAACATGGATTCTAGCTCCTATACGTGAAAATTTTGCAAAAAATTTAGTTAATTATTGTGTCTGATGTGGAGATCTTTTGGCCTAGACATCCATGGTTTAAAAGTTCTGTTGCAATTATAGTAAAAGGTGATAAACAAAACTATAATAAAAGAGAAGTGTTTAGAAAAGGTAGATCACCTGACTGAAAATATGGGTCTAAATGACTATGTGTACATGATAATTATGGTTAATGAAGAAAAAACACCTCTTTTGTACATGCAGAATTTTCATTTTGTGGCATGTAGTATAGATGCATGAACAAGAAATTAATTTACTTGTTTTGGGTTTTTATGATGTTATGACTAGAAATACTTAATACCTTTATGTAATAAAGACACATGATCGGCAAATACGTTTAATAGACATGTTGGATATCTAAGTTATAAATAAAATGAAAACATCATTCTTTCTTTTATGTAATCATCTTGAATTTTCATGCTATAATTTGGAATATGGGGAGACCCATAGTGGCACATTGTGGTAGAATGAGGTGGTTGACATAGGAGAAATGCAAACATAATGGGAATCTAACTTAACGAGGATTGAGACAGTAAGGAAAGCCAGTGGTTAGTGGGCCATGGAAATATATAATTATATATAGAAAGGTGTTGATTTTATCATAAGAAATAAATATGTTTCTGTAGTTCAATAAGGCTTAATTGAAAGCATACAGTGGATTTGGTTGGCTTAGGTTTCAGAAATTAGCTTTGCTTATCTAGAAAGAAGAAAATGAACAAAAAGAAAATTTGTAAAAAAAAAACTCTGAAACACCTTTTTGAGAAACACAGGTACTATACAAACAATGTTATTGGTTAGTAGATGTAAACCAAAGACACCATTCTGAATTTTCTGAAAAGTAATTATTTATAACACAAGGTTTCAAAAAAAAAAAAAAAAACTCTAAAAAAAAAAAAACTCTACCAGTGACAGAATTGTTTTTTGGGTTGTAGGCAAAGAGTTTTGGGATGATTGCAAGGTTTCAAACCACCCACAGAAAAAAAAGGAAAAAGGGAAAAGGGTGCACCATCATCTTTGATAATAGAACACACAAAATTATACTAGTTTTAACTATAAGTTATTTCATGGATAATCAAACTCGATGCGAAGTCCTTTCAAAGAGAAAGGTATTGTTTGTGTTCTAGATGTTTGCAATTTATAGGCCAGAAGAATTTTTATATATTTTTGTTCAAAATCCCTGTACTTAATGGTCATCTTTCCTGAATTAACCACTCTATTTTTTTGTTCTCATTTCAGGTATGAGCCATATCTTTGGGAGAATGAGAGGCAGTCATACCTACGGCATTCTGTCCTCTTCGGTTTCTTTGTGCAACTTAATCGGCTGTACACAGATACTATGCAGAAATTGCCTACCAATCCGGAATCAAATATAATGAGATGTTCTACAGTTCCTCGCTTCAAGTACCTTCCCATCAGGTTGATGCTAATCATTTTGGTCAATAAAGATTCACGCGTTCTTTTATTAGATTGTGTCTGCATATATTTCAGACTCAGTAATGGCTTAAAAGCCTAAAAGGAAACAAACAACCAATGATATGGATTTGCTGCCCCATAATACTTGCACCTTGAGATGGATTCTAAACTATACATTGTTTATCCAGTGCTCCAGCATTGTCTTTGAGGGAAACAACCAAAGCATCGATTTCAACATCTGTGGAGGATGTTTCTTCTAGAAGGTCCTGGAAAAGTTATGCTCATGAAGACCTCTCCCCTAAGATTGATATGGATGACAACCCAAGTTTTGGGATGGCCACACCATTTTTAAAGTCATTCATGCAGGTTAGATTTCTGTCACTAGTTGGATAAGCAATATCTGGTAGGGTAATTGTGAGATAATTGAGTTTTCCAACCAACCTGCGATACTGATCTGGATTCTCAAACAGTGCATCATCATGCATCAACAATTTTTGGTTTGGATCCATATGAACATTAATTGGTTTGTCACTGAGCAAACTTGCTTTTTCTAACATGTCAAGTACATATTGTTTCTGAGATAACAAATACCTAGTTTAGAACTAGCAACCTCAATATCCTAGAAGTACCTGATTTTTCCTTGATCCTTAGTGCGAAATCAATCATGCGAGAAGGTTTTTAACTTGACAATACCCTCGGAATCATTCTCAATAATTATAATATTATCTACATAAACAACCAATAGAATATATTTGCCAGCAGTTTGTCTATGGAACAAAGAGTGGTCTGTCTGACATCGAAGAAGATCAAACTCTAAAACTGCATCGAAAACTTATCAAACTATGTCCTCGGTGATTGCTTCAACCCATATCGAGATTTTTTTAACCAACACACTCTTACAATGCTCTCCCTGAGCAGTAAACCTAGGTGGCTGCTTCATGTAGACCTCCTTAGTTAAGTCACCATATAAAAAGACATTCTTGACATCTAACTGAAACGATGATAATCAAGATTAGCTGCCAAAGAAATCAATATATGAACATAGGAGATTTTGTCAATAGGAGAAAAAGTCTCCTCATAATCAACACCATAGGTTGAGTAATGCCCTTAGCAACGAGACGGGCTTTGAGGCACTCAACAAAACCATCCGGATTAAATTTAATAGTATACACCCATCGATAACTGATAGTGCGTTTACTAGATGATAAAGGAATAATATCCCAAGTTCCATTATAATGTAAGACATATATCTTCATTTTCATAGTTTACTTCTAACCCAGATCAGAAAACACACCCTGTAAGTGCTTAGGAATAAAGATAGTAGACAATTGAGAGGTAAAATAAGAGAAGACAGGAGACAAGATATCATAAGAAACAAAATTAGCAATGGGATGATTAGTAACACATGATTGAGTACCTTCCGAAGAGCAATAGGTAAGGAATTGGAAGGAGTTGAGGGACTAGGATTATGAGACAAGGAAGATGGGAGGGGCACTTCAGCCAATGATCGGGGACGATGGGAGTATACGCGGAGTGGGATAGTAGATGATAGCACATTAGACAACGGGATAACCAACGATAAAGGAAGAGGCTGTGGTGTAGTGGACGACCCAAAGTCTATTCCAAAGCTGAGCAAGTGCTAGAAAATACGGAACAGATTCATTAAAAGTGATATTAACACTAGTGAAGTATCGACGAAGCGGAGGACTATAACATTGATACCCCTTATGTGTGGGAGTATGCTAGAAAGACATATTAGGTAGCACGAGGGTCAAGTTTATCAAACCTGGGTCCCAAGTTGTGAACATAACAAACACACACAAAAACCATAGGATTCAAGGAAATAAGTGTGTCAGGAAAAAAGACAGAATATGGATTGTGCCCATTTTAATACAGAAGATGACATATGATTAATAAGGTGACAAGCAGTGAGAACATTATCACTCAAAGAGGAACATTCATCTAAAATTACAGTGCGTGCGTAACTTCCAATAAATGACGGTTCATTTGCTTAGCGATGCCATTCTGTTGAGGTGTCTAAGCACATGAAGTCTAATGAATAATATGAGTTTTGTGGAGGTAAGTTCAAAAAAAATCCGATTCATATTCACGGGTATCTAAGAAGCACAGATACGGACACAGGTGTCGTATTCGATACGATACTGACACGACGATACGACAAAATTCCAAAATATAGGATACGGGTACGGCGAGGATACGATTAATTCAAATAATTATATATATTTTTATATATATAACAACAACATTAATAATAACAAACAATCAAGACATAACAAACATTACTTAAATTGTGAATCCCAAAGGCAGTAAGTCAGCAATAGAAGACATAGCAGCTAACAACACAGCACCAGACCCAAAAAAAATTCCAAAGGCAGCAAGTTAGTACCACAGCAAGAAGACAAACGACGTAAGAGGAGTCCAGCATAATAACAACAAAAAATTCCCAAATTATAAAAACCCTAAAACCCTTACCTAATCAAATTAACTTAATCAAATTTTTTGAAAGTCCACCACACAGACCAGAAGAAGAAGAAGAAGTAAGAGGAGCAATAGCAGATCTGGACAAAAAAAAAAATTGAAGCAACAAGAACCTGCAAGAGATTGGGCAGCAATCGAAGGTTAAGATCCAGGTCGTGGTCGCAGGTTAGTCTTCCTTCTTCTTCTCCTCTTCCTCTAGTCTTCTCGAGCTCGTTCTCTTCTCTTCTCTTCTCTCTCTCTCACTCTCTCTCTTTATGTAGAACTGAGTCGTCAGGTAGACGACTTTTGTTTTTTTTTTTTGTTTCAGGCCCCCTAAGTTTTTAAAATAACAAAAATACCCCCGTCGTATCCCTCCCGTATCTCCCGTGTATCCGAGCTGTATCCAACAAAAAAAATCAAAAGCCACTATTCAGGACACTTCTACGAGTGTCGGACACTGCCACGGCGACCTCTCGACGAGTATCCGTGCTTCCTAGACGGGCATTATTAGAATATAAAATATGAACACAACAACTATACTGAGTTTTTATTTCTTTACGAAAGGTCTCAAATATAGAAAATAAGTTAGAATGAGCTTCCATAAAAAATGACTAAGTCACATGAGAATAATCATCCATAAATGACATAAATAAAGATATTTATTAGATGAAATATTATTTATTGGACTCCATAATCTGAATGCACTAACTCAAATGGACTAGACACAGCTATTGACTCAAGACTAGAAAGACACATGGTAATGCTTACTAAGTTGACAAGTTTCACAAGACACAAATAACACATACTAAGGTTGGGAATTTGATGCTTTAGATTCTGGAGGGAGGGATGACTAAGATGAAAATTTCACTGAAAGGGAGATGACGAAGTTTGAAGGACCCGAGTAGGTGGGTTAAGGTCCAAGTAATAGATACCATCGGCTTTATGCCCCAGACCAATTTTTCTCTTCGTCTGGAGATCCTGAAACACATAATAAGGGAGATAAAAGGTAATTGAACAACTAAAGGAGTGGGTAATCTTGCTAATGAAAAGTAAATTAAAAGAAAACTGAGGGATAAATAAAATGGAGGATAATGACATATCAGGACTCAATTGAGTATTCTCCAAACCTGTAACCTTAGAAGAAGTACCATTAACAAGTATAACACTATATGATGAACTAATAAAATGATAAGTAGAAAAGACACTAGACGAATTAGTCATGTGGTCAGAATTGTCGGAGTCTATGATCCTAGGACTGCGGGTGGAGTTGTGAGCTGGGAACAGGTAGAAAGGAAGTGTTATCCCGATAAGAGGCCTAATTAGAAGCACTGGAAGGTTTGCCATGTAAATTCCAACAAAAATCAACAGTGTGCCCTCCACGACCACAATGAGTGCAGGAACGAGGACCGGTACAACCTCCACGACTGTTAGTACATTCTCCAGTACAACCTCCCCTACATCCACATCCACCATGATTACCATGTCCACCCTGAGGACCATTTCTGTGGCCAGTAGGAACAACAAGAGCTAAGCTGTCAGTGGAAACGCCATGATCAAAGCTAGAAGAGCCAGTAGATAAGGTAGCACACTGTAAACGGGGGAAAGCCTCAAGTAAAGAAGGAAGATTAGAGCCACTCAAAATCTGAGAGCGAATAGACTTGTATTCAAATTTCAAACCCACCAGAAAATGAACATTTAAATTCTTATGCTACTTTTGCCAAACTACTACATCGGTAGTGAATAGGTGGTAGAGCTTTAATTCCTCACAAAACTCCCCCAACGTGATAGTAATAAACCTCAAGACTCAGAGTACTCTGCTCTAGGCAAAAATCCTGTTTACACACCTCATATGCAAGAGTAAAATTACCCTTGTCAGAATACATGGTGGCCAAGTGATCCCATATCTCTTTGGCCGTGTCCAAATAAAGCAAAGTAGAGCTAAAACTGGTCTCGATGCAAGTAAAAGAATAATTTGAGTATCCTCCTATTCTCACTGATCATACCCAGGATCACTTTCTTTGGTTTTAGTTCCTGCCAAATATTTTTTAAGACTTTGGTTTTTAATAAACACTTGGACTGAATGAGACCATAAAACATAATTGGTCCCGTTGAGCTTAACTGAAGTCATGAGACTATTTAGAAGGACTATGGGAGAAGAGGTAGAGAGCATAGATGAGATGACTGAGGTAGTGTTCACATTTAGGGACTATGGGAGAAGAGGTAGAGAGCATAGATGAGATGACTGAGGTAGTGTCTTGTGAACTACCAGAGGTTGTGAACTACTAGAGGTAGTGCCCTGATTAGGGTCCATGGGAGTGGGAACAATAGTAGGAGCAAGCCAAATAATAACTAAGAGAAAACTGAGTGAACAATACCCAAATAGTGCAGCAGGGGGCTGGAATGGCATTGGAGACTGTTGAACTGGACTATGATATTGCTGAACCAGACTGCATGGCTGCTGAACCGGACTGAATATGGCTGAATCAGACCAAACAGTCGCTGAACCGGAATGGCACTGGATGGCATTGGAGACTGCTGAACTGGACTATGAGACTGCTGAACCGGGCTGAAAATTGCTGAACCGGACCGCACAGCTGCTGAACTGGACCGAATATGGCTGAACCGGATCAAACAGTTGCTGAACCGGACTGAAAAAGGTCAAAAACAAGGCAGGAAACACTGAATCATTTGTCTGAACATGGAACCGGTACATAACCGGGAAGAGATGGATTGAACTGGACCTGAACTGGTCTGGGGGTTGAACTGGTTTGAATAGTGAGCAGGTGGTCAGTTGGCTTAGGCTTGGACTTAAGCGTGGGCTAGAACCTGGACTTGAAAACAGAGCGGGCTTGGCTTGAACTAGGTCTAGAAGGAGAGTGGGTTATTAATATAACCAAAGTCCAACACACCACTAG